GATGTGACACAAAGCTCCAGTTCCTCCCAAATTAAAATCATATTAATTCAACACAAAGGTAAAATATCTGACCATGCTAGGTGGCTAATGCTACCAAAAAAGCAGAGAGACACCACGTCCTGTCCCTCTGTCCCTGGGTTTATCAGACTGTGGGAACTATTAGTTAACTTAGTTTGTTGTCTTTCAGATGGGGGACTCAGGGGGACTTCACTACGACTCACCCTCTGCCCTCGGTCAAAGTGAAGCTGTTCACAGAGAGCACCGGGGTCCTGGCTCTGGAGGACAAGGAGCTGGGCCGGGTGAGTCCGTCTTACCAAACCACACACAAGCTGATGTCTCCAGACACAATGCAGCATTAAACATGAAATAAAAAGATAAAGCTAATAACAGCACCATTTTAAATATTATTTCATTTAAATAAGTAATGTGACCTGTCCTGGAAAATAGTACAACACTTTAAGAGTTAAATTAAAGATCAGATTAACTCCAAGTTAACAGTCTCCCTGAATGATGAACCATTTAACTACTGAACTAATAAACTGACGAGGTCATATTTTTATTTCACGACATAAAAAAAAATGTAATTAACCTTTATTTCACCAGGAAAAAAAATCCCTCTGATATTTACAGCCTCTTTTGCAAGACACCCTTAGCTGACATTAATGAGCATCTTACCGGAGCCCTGCGTGTTTATCAGCAGTCAGGATGCGTCGCTTTTACATCCTGTTCGCTGTGACAGCACCGACTCGGTCAGCATTAGTATCTACAGCAGCTGAGGAGGGAGGCAGACATACTTGTGTAAAAGACATTTTTACCCATGTGACTTTTAATATCTTCACACAAACCTCGATGACCCAGTGGTCCAAGTTGTGTGACTCTCTCCCAGTCACAGTGCAGAGCCAGTTGTCTGTCCTGTGAAACTTGCTCTTCCCTGTCCTCCTGAGAGTGCATTGTGAATTGCAATGTGAAATGAATTGATAAATGTGATGAGAATTGACTTTGATGTTCATAGTGACAATTTGCAAACAAGTACGTGCACAAATCGGAGACACTGGGCTCACTTTAGATTCCTGAAGTCTTCTCCAGGAGCCTGACAGGACAGAGGGTGAGTCTGCGATTGATAAATGAGATACACAGATGTGGGCTTTATAATCATATTTGATGTTTCACATAGACCAGAGAAAAGGCTTTGGTAATGAAGACTCATATTGTCTCAAGGAAAGGTTCTCAGGGCAAGTTTAAGTGTTCCTCAAAAGGCCCCTTTCTCATCGACAGATGTTGGAAAAGAATTTATTATCAGGTCATCTTATGATCAGAGTCATGCAGTCCTTGGGCCAGTGTGGTAGTTTCATTCCAAGGCAGATGGATGCTTTAACAGTCATTACTCAAACATTTGTTGGGGACTATTTTCAGCGGGGGAGTAATCTACATTTGGCGCTGTGGTGAGTATATCTGACAGCAGGATGATGCCAGACTTTGTATGATGTTTGTTCACACTTGTGAATTGTTGTTTACATGGCTGTCATATGAAGGTCCTTAGGCTCATGATTGAAGGTGTGTAACTTAGCTGAAGTCCCTGCACGAAAACATGTTAGTGAAAGAAAGAAGATAGTTTCAGGTAGTAGTGCAGCCAAGTTGTCTTTTCACATGTGGTTCTTAGACGCTTGAGCACTTGCTTGGCTGGTGAACCACTCTCCTCCTACAAGTCGTATCAGGACGGCTTTGTCAGTGGCCGACAATTGGTGTCGTGGAGCACCTCCACCACCGGCATGACTAAGTGTTAACAAAAGTATATTAAATCACATCTGGATTTTATCTCTATGACACGTATATAAAATTAAAATATAGATGTTTCTATAGTTACTCAATGTGTGCTTGGAGTTTCTGGGAGTTTCAGGAGGATCTTAAGCACTTGCATCTTTGCCTTTGAGTTTTGACTTGATACTGTTAGATATACCTGAATAAGTGAGATCTTTACAGAGTAATGACTTGGAGAAATAAAAACAAACAACAAACCCATAGGCCAGAATCAAAATCACAGAGGAGTTCATGAAATAATAAATCATCTGTAACCTGCCCTGGAGAAATGAAACCACCAGTCAAGGCTCAGACTCGGATGAGATGTGGGGGACGAAGTGTGCTGGGGAGAAAGTTTCAGACGTCCTTCATCATGTTGTTAACATGACTCACACACAACCAGTCTGTCTCAGCAGGAGCCTGAGTGAGTTGAAAAGACAGTTCAAACTGCCTGCTGTAATGGAGGCAGACAGATGAAGGTCACTGAAGACTACTCACCGTAAACAAAAAAGAGCTGTGGTTGCTGGTTAATAGATGTGTGCAGGTCTCGGAGCTGCTGTTTGTTTATTATACGAATGTATTTGTCTGTGAAAATGCACCAGAAGCTGACTGTCTTCAGGGAAAAACAAAACGGGGATTTTCTCTTCCTCTCACGCATCCTGATCTGTTCTACCACTAATGATCATCAAAACGCACGCAGAGGAGCTTTCCACCTCATGGCGACATCACAGCTTCACTGGGTTTTAAACCTGGTTAGGTTTAAAACAAAGCAGTAGTTAAAATAACTTCCGTCATCATGGTTACAATAATAAACACAGTTAAGCTCGTGGAGCAGTCACACAATGTCTCGTGCCGGAATCCGGTCTCTGTGTTTACGTGCACCTGTGGCACGTCAGCTTCACTCATAGAGGAAACATGTTGACGTTGAATCTGTGTGTGATCATGAACGCTGCAGCCGACTGCCGCTACCTGATGATGTCAGCCAAAGAATAGGCACCTATTGGCTGCTGGCTCTGTAGAATTATGTTGTAATTAGGTTTGTTTATAATTATAGTTTTGAACAAGACTAATAATTGATGAGCTGTGTTTGTTTCAAAGACAAAATAAAAACAGGACACTCTGGATTTTTATGGAAATTCTGATCCTCTTAACAGTTTCTTTGACACTTGCTAACCTGTCTCTGATGTTCCTGTGCCCCGCCCCCTCTCAGGTGGTCCTCAATCCAACCACAAATGGGCCAAAACAGGCTGAGTTCCACCGGATGGTCGTCCCCAAGAACAGTCAGGACACGGAGCTGAAGATCAAGCTGGTTGTCCGCATGGACAAGCCCCCCAACATGAAGCACAGCGGGTGAGTCTGCTGCCGCTCCTCAACGCCCGCTCTGTTCTTTCACTTCAGATTAGCCACAGTTGAACCAGGAACTTGGTCATTATACTGTGGTATGTGTCTTAACCACCGAGGTGCCTGAACATCTGAACGTTCTGAACAAGCTTCCACATTTAACCCACTGTCACTGAGCCATGTCCAAACTTCAAACCTTTTATCAGTTTGCTCCCAAAGTGATTAGTGAAATGCTGCAGACAAAAATGGTGTTGTGTGTTCAGAAAGGGTGTGTGTTAATGTGAGAGGGACTTGTGTGTGTGTGCAGGCTAACGGCTCCATCTGCTGGTCAGATGAAGGAAGCACCGTGTGTGTGTGTGTGTGTGTGTGCACGCACGCCATTGGTATTACTCACATTATGGGGTACGTTAATGGTACCAGCCTCTGGTCTGCACAAGGAAGGCCGAGTCCCCATATTGTCAGTGTGTTAACAGGTTTCAGTCCCTATAATGGGAGTAATACCAATGGCACATGGCATAGTGGGGTCAGAGGCTGGCCCCCACCATATAAATCACTGAATTTTAGGGGGACAGCATGGTTTAAGGTTAGGGTTCAGAAAGCAGTGGTTATGATTAGGGTTAGGATCAGTCTCTAGGAAACAAATGTAAGCCAATGTCAAATCCCCACAAGGAATGAAAGCGTGTGTGCGCTTTGTGATCTCATGACTTTGAGGTGGTATGTTGTACTACAAAGACACATTAGCAGATGCATCACAATGATTCAGACACAAAGACATGATACAGTTATACAGTACAATCCATAACACCTAAGGATTAACAGTATGACAGGCAGGGTATGAATTATGTTCTGTATAAATTCTTCTTGTGTGATGGTTTCAGTTCATTTAAAACTGACAATATTGAAAGTTAACACTGAAACTTTTAATTTAAAGATCCATAGCTGTTATAGCTTTACATTTGCATCATTCAGAGAAAATGTGAAATGACTTGCTTTCAGTCCATGCTAAACAGTCTGCTCTCCGGTTTGAGTTTATGCTCAGGGGATTGAAGAGCATCAAAACAAGCAACAGCAGCTTTGATCAGTGAGTGTGACGATACTGCTGCTTGCTAACGATTTTGTCCTCCCTCGTTCTCCGGTCTGATTCTGCTCTTACAAACCTGTGCCCACTCTCAAACACTGTCTTGCAAACTGAGTAGTGCTAGATATGTGGTTCATGCACCGTCAAGCGTTATGGCAGGGATATCCTTCCATAGATGCACTTGATTCCCATACACATGCACTCATACACAAAACTAAATTACAGTAAATTGTAATTTAAGATGACTTATTTAAATGTCAGGGTCTTCCTGAATCAGTGATCCAGCTGGATCTCTGAATTAAAAACCAAAAATAATGGGGGGGGGTTTGCTGTGCAGTCCCTATTTCTGTCAGAAGAGGGCAGCAGAACGTCGTTTTCAAAGCTATAGCTCCATGATGAGGAAATAACACTGCAGCACTGTGTGTGAGAGCTGTTGCTCTGCACAGCTCCTTAGTTTTTTCTTTACTGCTGACATCTGTCAACATGTTAAATGTTTCTATTCAGTCTGAAGTTGTAGTGCTTGGAGGTTGATCATCTTTCATGGAAAGTATGGAAGTATGGAAATAATGACACCAGCATGTCGGCGGACTCACACATGGAGCAGTAGTACCTTATTCTCAACCTGTAGCTTCTTAAAAATACCAACTCTGCAGCAAACGTCATCAATGTCGGGGCAAGTTTTTGACTCATTCCAGTGCAGCTGTTTGAATTCACCACAGCTCAGTTCAGCTCCACCTCATCTGTCTTTTTAAAGTCACTGGTTGCAAACTGTCAGTCCAGTTACCGAAGTCTAGAAGAAGATGAGGATCTTCTGTGTCCCACTGCCTCTGTTACTTTAATGGACACATCGCAGTGGGAGTCAGGCAGCTCTGACGCACGCTGACTGATGGAGACGAGGAAAAGAAATGAGATTGATCGTGTAGTATTCAACACCCTCCACCAGGGGTCAGTGTGAGTCCAGCCCAGCTCTGCTTCAGCTCATCTATGTTTCATCTCTCTGCCATTTCAATTTATTTATTTTTTTAAAAACTTAAACACAATCCGGGATTCATCTGCTGAAAGCCATCATCTTGCCTTTTGGTTTGTTCCCTGTTCAGGTTATTTGATGCTGTTTTCCCTGTGAATCTTTGATCCGAAGACTAATGGAGGCCAGACACGGCTTGCGCGCCACCCGTATGATAAACAACAATCTGCATATTTTAGGATTAACATTTTGGATGCCTGGGAAGGTGAAGTCTGGTGAAAAGTCATTTTAACACAATTTTTTAAGTAATTTTACAAAAATGGGGGGGAAAAAAAGATTTGAAAATTGCACATTTCTGCAGGAGCCACCTGCCCTAAAACCCCTTTCTAACAATATTATATTAAAGGTGTAAAGTTATTTCATTTTGATAAATTTGAACAGAAAAAAGGTGGAAATTTTGTTAAGATTTTTTTTATCTGTAGATTTTAATGTGAAAAACACTGGAGGGATCATTTAATTTATTTGGTCTAAAGATTTTTTTTTCCTCAAGTAATTATTGCACAGCAGCTGTGATGCGATTAATTCACCTGTTCTTTGCACAAATCAGTGATGATGGTCAGTCATTTATCCTGGTTTATGTTGATATACTCATTAAATTCTAGAAAACTCTCAAAGAGATGGCAATCTATTCTTCCACATGAAAATAAGTCCAGTGACTCATGACTTGTTGAGAAAACCTTAAAGTGTGAGTGTCCAGCTAAATGACCAGTTACAGAGGTTGGTTTTTCCCACTGAGGACTGTTAAATGCCTGCAGTGAACTGTCTGGCTTCAGCTGTCTAATTTTCACAAGTGGCCGCCGAGCGGTGCCACATGTTAACCCAGAGCTGTGCAGAATGGCCCAGATTCTCGGTCCAGATGCGCCACAGCCTTGACTGGAGGCCTTTTCTTTAAGGGCGGGCAGCAGGGCTGAAGAAAGAGGTCTCGCCATCGATTGATTTTCCTCACTTGCACTTGCCTGTATCCCACGCTTCAGGAGGCTCGGGAGCAGCCATTGATTGAGAGGCCACGCTGGTCATTCTTCCATTTTCCTCAAGACTTCCTCAGTGAGCTGCTGCCTGTGTCACAGACGCCATACTCTCTCCTCTTAGACTCCACATTAGTGGGGGACATAAATGTGTAAATAATGGGTGCAGCTGGGGGACGACTGACATAATGTGCCGTGATGCAAGACGCATAGAATGGATCCTAATTTCAACCGAACATGATCCTTGAAGACACCGGTCTCAGCTGCTGCCTGGAAATGTTTACAAGCTGAGCAGAAAAGCAAAAGGCCCCACGTTAAGCCAAACACACTCTCCTGTCTGAGAAGTGTCAGGAGTCAGAGCCTGCAGATAAATGGTTCCCTCACACTACAACCATGTGCACTGGTCTTAGTTCTTTTGTTGTTGTACAGGAGGGCCGGGCTGCGGTCACTATTGATCTGTTTAGCTTTTCATTTGTTTAGTCTGATTTGTCAGGCGACGTCTTCAGATGCCTTTTTTTCAGACCAGCAGCCTGACACTCACAGATATTTAACTCCTAGTGAAGTAAAACCAAAGGATGTCTGGAGCTTTATCATCGACTGAAGCTATTAATCAGTGATTTTCGGACTCACTATTTGACCATTTGTCAAAGCTCTGAAAGTTATAATTGAGCTGAGTTGGATGCCCCGAAGGCACAGAGTGCTAATCTGAGGAGACACATTAAGAAATGTAAGGGAAAAAATTTACCAAGTTTGAGAAATGAAAAAAATCTAAGCACCTTCTGATCCACCTGGGCACATTTCGGCCCTGCTGTGTCTGTCCTGGAGCTTTTTATCATCTCACATGGTCTTCTTCATTTGCAGTCTGCACAGCTGTCTCAGGCCCTTGATGGTCAGATTTTCTTCTGAGCGACTTCTCTTACATTTTGGCTTAAAAGCTGAGTTTGAATTTCATTAATTCTTGAACTTGGAAACGGCATTTCCATGACAACTGGATGATGAAGATCATGTAATAGGACTGAAAATATTTGTCAGCTTTTGTTTTCAAGGCCAAGAACAAACATGTGGAGCAGCTGAAAATTTAATGTTACATCTTCCATTTCTGAGGTTTATATGATGTGTTGATGCCATGTTCTGTGTGTTTCAGGTACCTGTATGCTCTGGGGCAGCGGGTCTGGAAACGCTGGAAGAGACGATATTTCGTTCTCGTTCAGGTAGGACACTGAGCTCTAACATGTATTGATTTGTGATTGATTAGTGCGTTGTGTCTCAGGACCCGAGCGGCACCACAGGCTGGAGAAGACGTTATAACCTGTTCATCCACAGAAGAAGACTCGAACATTGTTTTTTGCAGATGCCGCATCATTGAAAGCATGAAAGAACTCGCTGAACTGATGTTTGTGTGTTTAAAATGCATTAGATCAACCCTTCAGCCTTTGGTGAAAGCATTCTCACACTGAAGCATCTCATTGAAAAACTCATTTCCTGTTTTGATTTTGCAGCAGAGTCGTTCAAAAGAAAGGGACATAAACAATTTGAGGTTATTAAAGAAAATCATCTCGCCTCAATTGCTCCACTCAAGGATTTTACATGTCCTCTGAGCACCAGGGTCCTGCTGGAGCACAGTTAATTAAGTTTTGAAACTTTTCTCTTCAGCTCTTTTTGTAGGTTTTTAGCGGCGGCTCTGTGAAGCCAGGACAAACATGGACTTGAACAATTTGTTTCTGTGAAATCAAGTGTTTTGAAAGTCTTTCAAAGGCATTAAAAGATGGAATCTTTAGATTGAGCATAACTTACATTTTATTGGTTTTAACTGAGGATTTTGATGTTTGATTGGCAGTTAGGTTTAAAATCCTCTGACTTTATTCTCCTAATGGTCTGAAAAATCACTCGTCACTGTGCCTCTGTCCTGCAGGTGAGTCAGTACACATTCGCCATGTGCAGCTTCAGAGAGAAGAAGGCCGAGCCCCAGGAGCTGATGCAGCTGGAAGGCTACACGGTGGATTACTGTAACCCTCAGCCAGGTGAACTCACCTGAGGTGTCCGGCTGGGCTTTACACTTCAACAGGCAGCCCACAGAAACACACAGGTCTCAGGGGTATAGTGCCAAAACCATCAGTGTGTTGAGCAGCAAAATGCGAAACCTAGCATTTGGAATAAATTAGATGTGTGTGGGAATTATGAGCTTTTTGAACTCTAATATAAAGCTGCCATAAGGTCACGTGAGACACGAACACTTTTAAACCCTGGGCTGAATCCAAACGTCCCTATTCTCAGACTGACAGAAACCGTTCTAAAAGCTGGATTTCTAGTTGTTAGTATTATTACAAACATCAGTGGGTTTTTCAGTTAATTATACAAACCTCCTCAGCGAGCCAATAACTGAGGCACAAGTTAGGACACAACATGGAGATCAGTTCAGAAAGTGTCAGGTGAATGACAGGCGTGAGGTCTTGGTGCTGGGCACGTTCACGATGTCGACCTGAAGCATTATCTCGCAGCTTGTTTTGTTCCCTCGTAGACGGGATGTGACGATGGTGAGCACTAAGGGTGGAACAATATATCGAAATTCAATATATCACGATACAAAAATATATATTTTTGTAAATATGCCTACTTAACAGAACACAAGTCAGTATATCTGGCTGTTCTTTACATAATCAAACCAGTGCTAGAAAAAAGGAACAAAGTATTCTGCAGCGAGTGATGCATTGTCTTTTTAATTGTATCGTGGATTGAAATCGTACAAACGTATCCAGGAAAAAGTCCCATCATCCCATCCCCAGTGAGCACCTGAGACATGGATGTCTGAGGGCTCCACTGACAGGCGACGCCGTGGACATGGGATTAATGTTCTGTTTTTTGTTTTGTTTTTTTTTTTTTGTCCTAAACACCGAAACTCTGTTGGATGGATTGGATATCAATCGTGTTTGGTTACTGTGCTTGTATAAATGACTTGAATCTGTTTACAGACACTGCAGCAGAGTCCAGCTTTAAACGCTTCCAAAGCAGATCCATCATTGCTGTTTGTTCATTATAATGAACACATTCAGCACACAGCCTCTTACCTTGTGACGTTGCTCCTCAGGCCTGCAGGGCGGCCGAGTGTTTTTCAACGCGGTGAAGGAGGGCGACCTGGTCATGTTTGCCTGTGACGACGAGCAGGATCGGGCACTGTGGGTTCAGGCTATGTACCGAGCCACTGGGCAGTCCTACAAGCCAGTCCCGCCACTGCAGAACAAAACCACAAACTGCAGAGGAGGCAACCAGAAACCAACATCTCCAATCAGTAGGTTCTGCTTCTCTTGTGTTCATGATTTAAGATGAGTCACTGTTAAAACGTTTCATTAAAACTGGAAATATGATGCTGTGAAACTGACATTTAAGTCAAGACGCGTTGTCCCCAGCAGGATCAATACATGACTGACTCCTGTTGACAGCAGCACACAGATGTCTGACCGACAGTAACGTTAACGTCACATCTACAGCAAATGTCGGCTGCTGCTGCTTTTCCCTTGTTCGTCTCAGCTGGTTTTGTGTCTTCTTGTATAATTCTTAGTGGACTGTGGACGACTTTAGTTCATAAAGCAGTTTCTTCCAAGACACACTAAAGCCAGCTGACAGAGACAGAACGTTACTGAATGCAACGTGTCAGCAGCTAAATCAGCATTTGAACGAGAGGTTGTCGCCACAGGAGGATACTGTTACTGATCCTAAGGGAGGGGCCACTTCAGCATCCTACAGCCTGGATTCCTCTTTAGACACATGACACACCCTGAGGTTTCCTTTGGACATTCAATGTCCAGAAGTGTCTCACAGTTTGAGGAGACTGAGCTTCAGTGTTTTGCTTGGATAGTTGTGGTGTTTCCTAGTAACAGTTTCTAGAGCTTTATTTGCACGTTCAGCAGCCTGGACTCCACAGGTGCTGCTTTATGTGGCGGTGACACTCGTTTTAAAGTCAGAATAAGAGTGTATTCGTGTTTCATTTCAAGTATCTTTAACATCTTCATTCTTTTTAGATGAACCTTCTTTTATTTGACCAGATTTTGTTCGTGTCCTTCTTCCCTACTGTCTCTCCTGTTGCATCATTTGTTTTAATATTTCCCTCACTCCTTTTTCCTCTTCCATCCACCTTCTCTCCTTCTTTCACATCTTTTCTTTGTTCTGTTTCCCCGTTTCCATTACACAGGTTTAAAAACCCCAGAACTGTCCTTTATTAAGACGGATAGCAGGACCTCCGACTGAGACTGTGGCTCGGGTGGATGGAGTTGATTGTTTGCCCAGTGTTCATTGGTTGCAGGCCAACAAACACAGACACACGCAGTAGGAGGCAGATGGAAGCAGGTCATACTGCTGTGAGAGAGAAAACACATGAGGGGAAAAAGGACAGTAGAAATGAAAGACAGGGGAAACGGCGGCTCATCCCCTAAGTGGCGGTTCGATTCCCGGCTTCTCCAGTCTGCTCATCGAAGACATTGAGGCCCAAGTTGTTCCTGGTGATAATATGTGTGCAAGAGGGTGAACAAACAAAGTGTGTTTTGTTCTGTACGAGTCAATTTATAGGGACATTGAATGACACAGTTCTTCACTAAAACACTCTCCATCCTTTCCTTCTTCTCCTCCTCTCTCCTTTTTCTCACGTTTAGATCATTTCTTCTCCCCATACTTTGCCTTCTGTTTTTGCTTCCTTTTCCCTGCTTTCATTTCCTTTCATTTTCATTCTTCTCTACTCCCCTCCCTTTTTTCTTCCTACCTTCATTTCCTCTGTAGTCCCTTCTGCTCTTTCGTTCTCCTTCAGTCTGTTTACGGTCACTGTTTCTCACCAGAGCTGTGATGAATACAGTGAATGCATAAAACATTTGTAACCTGACTTTGTTTATTTGCCAACTGTCCTCTTCTCTGCGTTTGTTGATCAGCTACAAGCAAAATGTGGGAACCACCAGTAAAACCATTGCTCTGTAGCACAACCAACTCTTTACTGGTCGCTTTATTTTTCCATTTTTCTACCTTTTCCTCTTTTCCTGTATTTCCATCATTCTTCTTCTTCACTGGTCCCTTCCTCTGTTGCACTCCATCCCCCCTTCATCTTCAAATCATTTCATTTATTCTGTGTGTGGAGGGCGTCTGTGTCTGTGTTCACCACCGCCTCCTCCCAGCCAACCATTGTGACCTGAAGAGCTTCATACTGAGAGCTGATTACAGTAGTATTTGTGTATTTTGTTGTGGCGCCGGCCCGTTCTCGCCGCCGCTTGTTAGTGTTTAATGGAACAGATTGAAGCATTAATGGCGAGAGGTGCTGACATGCTGTTTGCAGGGGGAAATAGAAGGTGTCCTTGAAATAGCTCTTAACTGAATGCTAAGTGTCGTGTGTGTGTGTGTGTGTGTGTGTGTGCGCGCGCACGCGTGCACAGTGAGAGAAAGTCGCTTTCATAATGATTGTGTTGGTAAACCTGGATCTTTGTCTCCGTTTGCCCTGCAGCCGTTTCGATTTACATGAATCATGGAGGTTAAATAACACTGACTGCCTGTGTGCACGCTGACAAGCACTGACACAACCACACGTGCACAAAGATGGGTTGTATACTATTAGTAAAATTATACTTCTTATGACTTCATGGAAGTTCTTGTTTGCAAACACATCTGTCCCTGTTTGGAGGTTAATAACTTGGAGTGACCACCTTTCCTTTGCTTGTCTCCAGCTCAGGTCTGTGGAAGCGGCACACGGAGGGCACACAGAGCGAGCAGGCACCGCCACATTTTATCCACCTGCATGTGAGAGCAAATAATGAAGCCGTGTACACGTGGAACTCGCATTTCACACGCTGACACACACACACACACACCAGGCTATTGGAGTTAGCCTGCTGAATAGATGACGCTCTGTAAAATCCTCTGCTTCAGGGATCAGCTTGTCCTCTGCCTCCATCCATGTCCTCACACTGAAGTAGGTTTGTATTTACCAAGGAGCCAGTTTGTTCCTCCAGTAGACGCATTCACATGTGCATGAGTAAAAGCTGATCCTGTTCATCTGTTGGTCAAATCATTAGAAACGGTGTCAGTAAACTTTGCCTTCGTGGCATTCAAGCCTCTGAAGTAAAAACCATAAAGAAAAGAACAAACCAGCACTAAAGAAACTCCAGCAGATGCTCCTTCCTGTCAGCCTCCTGCCTGTTCACTGCAGCCAGCAGTTTACATAACCAAGAATCAAACGGACGCAGAGCACAAAGTCCAAACAAACGGGAATCATCAGAGGCTTGTCTGTGACCTTTGACCTGAAATCCACTGTTATCACACAGACTGACTTCTGTCCTCAGGATGAGCAGACAGGCCCTTTGGGGTGGAAACTCACTCCTGAAGATGTTTTTTGTGGATGTTTACACCTGTCAGTTGTGTTTTTGAAGAAACAGCTGGTCGGTTTCACAGCGAATGATCCTGAGAAGAAATGTCCAAACCGTCTGTCCTAACCTCCTAGCAGCAGAACAGTTACGGGTGTGTTTGTGTGCTCATCTCAAACTTTTGAGTTGAGTTGGTCGGTTTGCGCTCTATACTGAGAAGCCTGGCTCAGCCAGATGGAGCCTGATGGGCTTGTCTGTCCTCATCTTCACCTGTGCTCGCCCTGACATCATCCCTGCTGCCATACTGCGACAGGCAGATCAAGTCACAACCTGAAACCCTCTCCATCCTCCTCCTCTTCGTCTGCATCAATAACCTGCCATCGGCGGCCACCGTCACCTCTGAGCAGAATGTCACATAGATGTGACTGTCGCCGTGACGATACCAGTGGAGCCCAGACAAAATGGATATGGAGAGATCGAGCGGAGAAAACTGCCCTCACCCCTCCGCCTCAGCACACTCCCACCTCAGCATGTTTTGCATTCTGTAAATGTGATTCCAGGATGTAGACGTATACAACCACATATAGCTGAGAAACACATTTTACATTTTATTCACTGATTTTTAGCAGTTTACAAAGTTTGGCCAGTAACACGTTTATCTACCTGTCTCTGATCCAGTGGAGTCTGTTTACAAGATAGAAACACACAGCGTATAATGTTGATGGTTGGTTTAGATCCAGCTGCTCCCTGTCGTCGTCATTAACATAAAAGTTTCCTCTGGGGCTTGGAAACACCAGTTTAACAGTATAATCTTATCTACTGCTCCAGTGTAATGTCTGCAGCTCTCTTTGTTCTTCAGGTTTGGGCAGAAAGTCGGCTTCCCATTCCTCCAGAAAGGACTCTAGATCAACCATATCCCTGACTTAGTGCTGGGCTGCATGACAGACGGAAGGTCATTCATAAAGCTCAGCCCAGATGTTTGCATGTATCTTTGCAGAGCTGTAATCCTACAGATTTTCTTGAAGCTGATATGATGTATTCTGCATTTTCAGCACTATCCATTCAATGAAGTGTACAAAGGTGTCAAGCAACCAATACAGCGTTTAACCTGCTTTATGTTGAGGACTACTCATAAAACCACGTGAGCTTGTTTGTCTGCACTGTAAACACACTCTTCAGTTGTGTTTCTAACCAGCGCTCACCGTCTCGCTGCTTCAAGCAACACTTGTTACCATCAATGAGTGCGAGTGTCACCAAATGACCCAGGATGAGAACTCTAACCTGAGCCTGAAATAAATCAGGTTGTCATGAGTTTTGTTGTGTTTAACTGGAAATCTGTCTGCAAATAAACAACCAATGAGAACCAGTGAAGGAACCTGCAGACGGTCTAGAACAAACACACCATCTGTGACATCAACCCATATTTTGTGTCACACACTCATTCACACACGTCCCCCCTCTTTAACACCCCCAGGAGATAATAGCTGAGAGGTGGACTTGACGTGGATCGACATCACTCCTCTGCCGTCTGTTCCCCAATCAATACTTCCCCTCCCGCCCCTTCTTCTTATTATCAGCACTAATCTATATCTCTTTGTCTCGTTTTCTTTGGGGTCGCCTCCTTCACTCCATGCCTTTTCTCCAAATTACATTAAGGGCAATCCTGTTTTTGGATGTAACGAATGTAAAATGACCTACATCGGAATTAGAGGGAAAGCAGGCCACTGGAGCCACAGGGCAGCCGGAGACAGAAGAGTGGGAGAGCCAGAAAAAAAAGGAGAGGAGCGTCGATTTGAAGTTGATTGTGAAGATTTCACTTCTGCTGTCTTTTTTTTTCCCCTCTTTTGGACAAAGTGACAAAGAAAGGAGGGAGGAGGGGGCGAAACCCAAAGCCTGAGTTCTTGTGAGCTTCTCTGTGTCCACACAAAAACAAAATGGCAGCGTTAATAAAAAGCAATCGCTAATGCTTGTCTCGGGCACAAGGCCGCAGGCATCGCAGGCGTAGAAACGGCGCCGGCATTCTTCAGCAAGCCGTGGTCTTTTGTAGGGCCATGTGTCACACTCAGAAACTTCCCATCTCGAAATGTACTCCCACAATAAAGGCAGAGTGGAGAGTGTTAGGCTTTTCATTTGGCGGGGCCATTAACAGGAAGGCCTGAAAGGACTGGAAATGAACCCAGGTTTGCTCAGGCCGGGACACCATGCGCCTCTTCTGCTTCTTTTATTTTCCCTGTTTTCTGTTCAGTCTTCTGTCGCTGACCCCGAAGCCTCGTTAGCAGCTGCCGCTGCAGGCACAGCTCGGCCGAGCAGGAGCTCCGTGTAGTTGCACTGCTGTGTGAACACACTTTATTACCAGGATGCATATTTATTTTATTGTCAGCAAACCTCACGCAAAGACTCTGAGTGTATCCGTCTCCCAGGTCCTGTGTCTGTCTCCCACCCTGGTGTCTCTCCTCCCCCTGGGCCACAGAGCTCCACTGTGTCTGGGAACCATTCAGCCCAGCAGTGACCACCCTGCTGCACCAGCCGGCATGTTGCCTCATCACCTTGAACTCACACTGCAGTTTATTCTGACTCGGTCCTACACACCATCCTGCTGCTACACATACTCACTAGAGATTCATCCGCTGTTGAAAATAGTCCTCAACACATGTACTGTTTCCTGATATTTGGGTAACATTTGCTAAACAATGGCCGTCTCTTGTGAGACTGATACTATATGTTTGTGGAAGGAGTGGGCCCACAGCTGCCATGCGGAGGCCCTCATCTGGCGCAAAAATAAAGGTATAACATGTCTAAGTCATGACTAACAGGTCAGAGAGGGGTCTTTTACCAGTGTTAGTCCAGTAAGTCTCAAGTCCTCAAACCTACAACTAAAGTCTGACTCGAGTTGAGTTAAGCCCCCCAACTCTGCTAAAAAGTATTGCACCCTCCTATGTGTCATGCAGTCCAGCCAGCTGTGCAGCTAGTAAACTGATGGGTTTCACACAAATGTTGTCCACAAAGGTCACAAATGGTCTTCATGTTATTACAGGTCTAGTTTGTCCAACTCAGATGAGCGGTTTCACTGCACAGATACACAATGATCAGTGTCCTTTTTGTGTGCAGCTTTACACACACACACACACACACACACACACAGCAGAGTCCCAGTGTGTGTTGACCATGTGTACTGTCCAGCTGGACAGTGCTGTTACCATCACAGCGGCGATGTAATGCACTCAGTTGCAGAAGTTTCAGCCTTCACATGGTCTGTACTAAGACCTGTACATCTGTTGGTTTCTGGTTCACTGATATTTTCTGTAATCTGGGCTGTAAAACATTCCGACATTTCCTGGTTTGAGCTCTTGTGGCCTGCAGGGCGTGTTGCTGACGCCTGTGACGTGTCGCTGTCTGTCTTCCTGGCTGGTTTCTCCACTCTGAGTCACTTCCAGTGTTTTCCTCACATGTCGTCCATGTTGGCGAGTGTGTTGTGTCAGCTGAGACTACTGACAGCTTCACAGAGGATCTGTAGCCAACCGAGGTGGCAACTATTAACCGCAGCACTGAGAACAGCCACTGCCAATGGAGCCTTGTCTCTGTGTGTGTTTACACTTCAGTTCACTGCTGAACTCAGAGAGAGGCGTGAATGATTGTGAAACAGAACACATTTATATATCACCTCTTTAGCTGTGGTTTAGCTGGTGACGGCATGCAAAGAAATCCGTGCACATTTAATTTTCAGTACCGTTGGTCATTATTCTCCTGCCTAAATTTGACTCTAGTTGGATTCTAAATGTCCTCAAACACTGCAAATCTAACGCGAAATGCTACATGCTGTGAGACAATGTGCAAGTCAACACAACTCGCACTCAGGTGCTCAGAGCATGTTGATGGTGGATCTGGAGTGGTGCTGACCTGACTGTGGGGACGGTTTATTGAACTTTATTATGAAATGCAGTTTTTATGGGCCGATTTCAGAACGATTGTCCTGACTGCACCGTGTTTCTGCATCCTGGTCTCTGTACTGATGCCCACAGCCCTGAGGACTTGGCTTCATACTGGTGATTCTGTAGCTCATGAATTTCTGTCCTGAGACAGTGTTTAATTAGTTTGACGGTCACATGTTGACTTTTTAACCATGCATGTGTTGCCTTAAACCCAAGCAGATATTTTAACTGCACCAATGTTTGAAATGTATAATTTAAAATGCATTTGCACTGCATGTTAAAATGTGTCATGACTGACTGTGCTTGTAGGGTGGTGCAGCTCTCACTCTTTTTCCTCTGTCTCGTGTTCAGGTCTGGACCCGTCTCAGCATCAGGGGGTAGAGGAGCTGATCTCTGCAGCTCCGTGCCGCTTCGACCACGCTGCCCTGTTCACCGTTTTACAGAAACACACTCTGCAGCACCGCATGAACGACTCCTTCTCCTGCCTGGTACGTTAACACATCACCTGACACTTTGTTTTTCCTCTACCTAACCCAGAGATCAGCTGAGGGTCAAACTGTGTGGGCGGGACTCAGGTTCGGTTTAAGCTGTTGAAATCGGAGTTTCTCAGGATGCCGCTCTGGCCTTTGGTCACTGCTGATGCAAACCCAGCTTTTTCAAGGAAACTTAAAATGTAAACTGCATCAGGAAAGAGCAACCAGATTGGATGTGGAAGATAGTTTTGTGATGTGAAGTTGACATGGTTAGTTGATCAACAGAAAGTTATTCTAAAAGACTTAATATAAACTTTTTTTTTCTCAAAACTACAAAACAAAAAAACTTGTTCCATCTTTTAAAAGGTGAATGTTAGCCCTCTATGAACAGTCAGCTGAATATCTTAGCATTTTGGGCATTAGACTCTGGAAAGTTGCAGATGTGTAGATTTACATATGAAAACACTTCTGTGTACAGTTCATATGTTGCTGTTTTAATGTAAGCATTCAGTCACAGTCAAAGTGTAAAGAAGGTGAGGTGTGCATTCAAAAGGAGGATTCATCCTTTTAGATTGAAGGAAGAAAAGAAAACTCTGGATACTTGAGATAATCATAGATATTTTTGGGTGGCTGTGGCTCATGAGGTAGGGCAGTCGTCTCCTGACCAGCAAGTTGGTGGTTCGACTCCCGGTCTCCCCGCATGCCTAAGTGTCCCTGAGCAAGACACTGAACCCCGAATTGCTCCTGGTGGCTTGACTAGCGCCGGTGCATGGCAGCTTGTCGTCCTCAGTGTGTGAATGTTGTGTGTGAATGGGTGAATGGTGTATCATCTCTGTAAAGCGCTTTGGCCAGTGCAACACACTGTGAGAAAGCGCTATATAAAATACAGTCCATTTACCATTTTACCATTTTTTAAAAATTGCACAATTCTTGTGAAATAGATGATAAAATATAGGACTAACTTTGGGAAAAGAACACTATACTGTCCAGTTTCTCAGCAGTTGATTGAAACTATATTTTTGTCATTTAGCTCTTGTTTGTTTCCTTTCATGAAACCCTCTGTAGTCCACAGAAGTTCTGGAGAAGGTTTGGAAGTGCCTTGGTCCTCACTGTGGTGCATGAGCTCTAGGTGAAAAAGTACACGAGGTATATGTAAGCGTGCAGTCAGTGTTCCTGTCTCTGACTGTTGGATCAAATCAATGTCGCTCTGCTTCATCACATGTAGAGCTGGAGCAATTCTTTCAATGAATCATTCAGAAAATGATGCTGCAACATCAATAGTCAAACTAATTCCAAACATTTACTGGTCCCAGTTTCTCAAATGGGAGTCGTTGCCAGTTTATTTCTGTGACTTTTGGGCTCATAGTTGAACAGAACAAGACAAAGTTGTGATTTTAGTTGTTTTCTGACAGAGGAAAGAAAAAGTCTGTGCATTTGTTTATAATGAATTTATTAGTTGCTGCCATAAATACACAGTTAAAAGTAATAGTACTAGCAGCCCAGCAGGAGGTAAAGAGTGAGACGAGCACTCCTGGAGAAAGGGCAGCTTGTGGTGGTGTGAAGACAGAGTGTTGTCTCTCTCTCTGTGTTAAGCCTGGGGGGCGCTCTCACACTGATTGAGGGGATAAACACCCTAATCAATACTTTCCAAATAGGAACATGACCCTTGTGGACAACTGCTGGCCTGACTCAATGAAGAAGGCGGGAGGAGGGGGGCCAAGTGTAAATAAGTGTGTGGAGGATGAAATGAGGGGTTTTGTGTTGTGAGCAGCTAAGTGAGATGCCTGAAGCCTGAGCTGGGCAGATATGATTCTTCTTTACTTTCATATTTTTACTGTTGTGGCTGAAGCTTTGGTACAAGTTTGTCCTTCTGTCCACACTGAGTTTTTCTCCACGGGATAATGCCATGAACATCAGCACTGCAGGGCAGTGTGATCAGTGAAAGTGGAGGTGCTGGAAAAATTAACCTGCACTGATGCTTATTTTATCTTTGGACTTTACACCTGCCAATGCAGCTGCACAGTCACTGTTCTAAGCAATTATAAGCCACAATCAAAACGACTAAAATGATTTGTAACATGAGCCGCAGCCTCGGGCATGACTTGGACTTGGAGTAATTATACTAATGACTTGGACTTGACTCCCTTGACACTTGAAAACATACAACAATGTTCAAGTCCCGGAACAGTAAAAATCCATAAGGCAGTGAGAGGGAGGCCTCCACCAGCCACGCACCCCGAGCAGTTAGTTCATAGGCTCATGTGTTCTGAGTACTTGGTGTCAGCACAGTGAACAGCCTGGAAAACCAGATGTTAATGGTTCACATTGTTGAAAGAGATGTAAATGACATGGACCACAGAGCAGCATTTATGCTGCAGTCAACAGAACTTGAAGCTGAGACTGGCTCTGAAAAGCATGACTTTGCATGCCCCAAAAAAACTTTGAAAACAACCCTGAAGTTTGGCTCCATTGGCTCGTCTCCTGACACACGGTGGCAGCGAAGAGGAGGGAAACAGAGAAGTGGTTGTTTTTGTGTGGACAGAACTTTTCACAGCTGACCCACGGACACTGGTGTGGGCGCGTGTTCTTTTCAAATGTCATCAGCAGGTTTAATTTTATCCATATTAATGTGAATATATTCTAAATTAAAGCCCACAGTGGCCACGTGTTGAAGCACTCCTAGAGCTGTTCTCAGTCGCCGTCCAGCTCAGAGAATATTTTTTTCGCAACAAATGGGTGTCTGTTCAAGTGAAGAGCAACACATGCAGCCAGTGTAAATCACACAACCCCCCCGTTTTAAGATAATCAGCACAGCCCGATGTGCATGCTCATGAGGCCGATGGACAAAAACTGTCTGCAGGCGGCCATGTCCGTGTTTTGTTTTGTTTTTCCCTGGAGTTTAGTGTTTTGATTACTTGTGGGCATCGTTTTTTTTTATTTAACATAATGAGGGGAGTGCAGAGTGTGGCAAACAGACGATGCTCATGTTGTATTTGTAAATACTTGAAATAATTAAATTATTTTCAGAATTCATTAGTGTTAAATAAGTGTTCATTTAAGTTCAGCGAATTTGTCTCATTTGTTATTAAATTGTTGTACTTTATCTGTTGCAAAAACAAAACCCAGACATATTGGTCTCCCTGCTCGGCCGTGAACAACCCATACCAGCCACCACTCTATACGCACTGTGAACCCTAAACTGTTATAGTAGATATCTGTTGTGTTTCTGGTTTGTTCTGAGGACAGTGATGCTATAACGAAGGTCGGCATCGCTGCAGGGTGAAAAAAATGTTCAGTTTGTCTGTGATTTAGGATTTATAGACCCGTGCTTTACAGTTTGATACAAGTTGCATATAATTTACACTGTTTTCAAGCATTTTCTGAATCACATAATATTCTTGACTGAAATGATTTGACCTTAAATGTCAGTCATAGTTAATTGTCCATATTTTTCTACATTTACTTTACAAAATGTTTAAACTTTTGACCCAGTCCTAGTTCATCCTTTCTAACAGAATGTCGACCGTGCCGGACTCTCAAACTGTCCTGTGAAACGCAAACCAGGCCTGACCTCGAGGAGTCGGTTCACCCCTATGTGCTGTATTGTGTCCTCGTCTTTTAAAAGCAGCAGAACGAGGAGATGTTCACCAGAGTGACATCTGCGCTTCTTTCATTTCTCTACCTGCCTCATCAGGACTCCTTCCAGCTCTGCAATTAGACCCATCCATTCACACCGCCCCTCCAGCTCCTCTCTCCTCAGCCTTTTGTGAGAGTTTGAGGGCTTTGTGTTCCAACCTGAGCCCCTTTTCAGCGAGCACTCTGAGAAAAGGCCAGTGCCTCGGCGTGGGGGACATCTGTTGAGAAGTGGCTTGGATTCATGTCATAGATGGGGTCATATTTTATTCACGAAGAGTTGAACCCAACAACAACAACAGTAATTAGGCAGAGATTTAGTTTGTAGCTGGGGCCCAGGCTCCTGCTAACTGGATCTCTGTTGTTCCCGCTGATGACTGAAGGGTTAAATCCTCCAGCGGAGCTTCTGGTGGAGCATTGAGTTTCAGCTCCACTGGTTTTCTGACACAACTTCCACCATGTACATGGGAAAACTCGGGGAAAGAAGTTCTTGCATAGGTTTAATCCTGTTGTTTCAGGTGATCCAGGAAGTCCAGTTAGAGCAACACATCTCTGATTTGGAGGTTTATCAGACACTGCACAGAGGTTTATAATACATCTGAAGACCAGTATTTACATCTCTGTGGTCTTTGACTCTCCTGTGATGCAACTCTGATCCACTTTGGACCATCTTGAACTCCAACAGAATATAGAGACAGCTTTCTCTTCAACTTTACTTTTGGAGGACGAGGACACAGGTGTCCTCCCCTGGCTTCAGTCCTGTCTGAGCGTTCTGCTGTCAGATTAGCTTCCTGTGGAGCTCCACCTTTATACACTCTGATATAATCACTCAGATCCATGCGTGCACACGGTTCGGGCTCCAGCTCCTTCCCAGTGATTCAGTTACATTTGTGCTAGAGGAGTCAGCAGAAGAAGAAAAGCAAGGCTCCAGTGTTCACACGGAGACGAACCGCTGACCTTGAGGGGAAAAAAGCCAAATGGCAAAATGTTTAGAGAGACTCACCAGTATTTGTATTTATATCAGAGTGTGAATAATACAGTGATTTTTGTGAGAAAATACTCATCACTCTGCTGCTAGAGAGAATAAACGGACTGTGAATGTCTCCCAGGAGAGACTGTCTGGAAATGTGCACCCTTATCCCCACTTTTAAATAGTGTTGCACCCCCCGTCTCTGTGATAGTCAGTTTACTGCTGCTGCCACCGTCATGGAAGGGGCCGGAGGGCTCAACTGAACTGAGCTGGCTCAGCAGACGTCATTAAGCTGCAATAACGGAACGGGGGAAGGCAGCCTTCTTGTTTTCTGCTCCCAGTACCTGGAACAGCTTGCAGAAAGAATTTAAATTGAACAAGTTGGCTTCACTACTTGAATTTAAGACCACAGTTCAGTCGTTGTCTGCTTGTTTTTCAAGGTGCTTGTGTAGCCTTTAAATGTGTTATGTGACTGTAGGTTGTGTTATCTTGGCCGGGTCCAACTTGTTAAAGAGGTTTTTAACCTCAATACATACAATTTTACCTGATAAAATAGAGGTTAAAGAAATGTGTAAATATTTTTGCCTGTATCATATACGAAGAAAACTCTGATTACAGCTCAAAAATGACTTGGGGTGTCATTACTCCCTAAGAACAACCAGATTCCACTTCCTTTTAGACAGCCAAGGAGCAGCTGCTGCACCTGTGTGATAGAACCAGGTCATTCAGTTTCTTAACTTTGTCGTTTGAACACCAGCATTGTTCCTTCATTTGCAGGAAGGACTCAGATTTCTAAGACACAAACACAAATATTTTTATATCTTTTTAAATAAATTAGCTGCCTCCCTGCTCTTGAAAGTAGAAAATGTAGGACTGTCGCATGACAAGCAGGCAACTCTGACTGTTGGGGGTCACATGAATTTTTGGACCAATGATTGGTTTCACGGGCCAAAAATCTCCTCAGCATCTTCCTCTCATCCTCCTGTGAGGTGTCTCTAGTCAGGTGACGAGCTACTTCACAACTACACACTTTCACTTTCTTTGGTTTGTGCCATTCCTCGGAGGGAGGCGGCCACGGCTGACTGAGCTAACGAGGCAGTCGGCTCGTTAGCTGCTAATTGAGCGGTCACCGCCAAGACTGGAGTTCGCCATCTGTTTGTCACAGAGGAACATCTTGTCGCTTTGCGCCCGTCGATTGCCCCTCTCTCTCTCTGTGGTGTGATATTAATAGCTCGAGCTCACAGACGGAGAGAAAACCAAAGAAAGAAACTGGAGAGGAATGACAAACTAGAGGGGAGGGGGGAGCCACTAAAAGGCCTGCAAAGGAGGAATTTGCCAGGCCCAGTTAACCCTGACAGGAAGCATCAGTCGGCATGAAAAACTGGAAATAAAGATGTCTGGTTTCTTAAAGGATCATTTGGACTGTTAAACATTTTAGATCTTAAACTCAGTGCTACAGATACAATGTCAGGGTGCCGTGATTCTCAAGAGACATTCAACCAGACAACTGTTACTTTCTTATTCTCAAATGATGTATAGATGGTGACAAATCAAAGGAGCCTCCTGACTGAGTGGAGACACAACCAGCTGATCATCGTCCTGATGATCTGATTGATCTGTTTATCCCCAGAATGTCAGACACTGGGAAAAAGTCCCACTGTGACTCTCCAGAGCCAAAGGTGGAGTGTCCAACCAGCAGATCCACAGAGACTCAGCTGATTCTCATGTCTGACAAAGAAAAGCATCAGCTCCTCACATTAAAGAAGGTGGAGCCAGAACATGTCGGTGACTGTTGCTTCTAAATAGCTGCTGGTTCATTTTCTACCAGTGAACTGACTCATGGCTGCAGCTCTAGGTCACCGAATGGCGTCATGAGGACGGGACAGCTGGACAGAAACAGTGAGGGTAGAAGAAGGAGGTTTCCTTCTCCAACAGAGGAGACCTGACACCGCTTTGGAGACTCAGCCCTGACCACGCCCTGCTAGGTGGTGGTCTGTCCTCTCAGCTGTCATGCAGCTGTAATTAGTTACTTAATGGTTAATTGTTTAACAGAAACCACTGAGAAGCTTCCAGAAGCATAAGCTTCATCAGAATGTACTCTTTGACATATTAGCAAAGTGTCCAACCACTGACACGTTTGACTTTCACACAGAGTGGAGTTTGAGTAATGTCAGATTTTGAACCAATATTTTTTGTTTTTTTTATTAAGAAAAAATGGTCTTTTTCAGTCCAGTGTAGCTTAGTCCATTTAATAGGTACAGTTATGGATCAGTGACGCTGAGGATTTTCTAAATCAAATATTAAGTCATGACATTTTCCAGTGGTGGAAAGTAACTAAGTACATTTACTCAAGTGCTGTACTTAAGTACCATGTTAAGGTATCTGTATGTTGAGTATTTTCATTTTGTGATACTTTGTACTTTGACTTCATTACATTTTAGAGGCAAATGTGATGTACACAATGCATCAGTATATATAATGTACAGTCATGTGAAATGTGCCATTCTGCATAATGAGCACTTCCTTTAGTACTTTAAGTATGCTTTAATGCCAATACTTAAGTAACATGTTGAATGCAGGACCTGTACCGTTTTACACTGTGGTACTGCTACTTTTAATTAGAGCATCTGAGTCCATCTCCCATCACTGACATTTAACACTAAATAGCTGCTACAGAAGCTGTTTCGAACAGAGACGAACTTTCAGTTTATAATTTCGGCAGTAACAATTCTCTCACTTCACTGAGATGCAGATTGATGTATCTGCTGTGGAATCTGATTCTTTCCCCTTTCAAGCAGCAGATAATCAAACTGTTCTGGACGTAAAATGAAGCATTTTCTCAGCAGCTCGTCTTCTCTCCCGGGCTTCGTGTGGCTGGGCCGAGAGCCACGGCTGTCGAGGTGTGTGTGTGCGCGCGCGCGCCACACACTTGGTGGAGGCGCTAATTTGTTAATGCGCGTTCCATGAGGAATCTTAATTAGCATTGTAAGTTTCATGCCTAATTTAGTGATTACGTGCAGGATGAATGAACTAATGATGTGCTTCTTTTTTTTTTTTTTTTTGTTTTACTCATGCACAGAATGAGTATATGAAGGGTTAACTCTACACTTTTTTGTTTAATTGTGATTAAGTATCAAGGATCTTTATGGACTCTGTGAAGCCAGGAGGCGCGTGACATTGGTTCAGGTCTGTTTACGTCTCCTATGGAAACAGGAAGCTGTGAAGGAGAAGTTTTGGTTCTTTCACTTTGTAACAAACTGTTCTTCACATTTACCAGGTGGCTGCATTTCCCTCCCAGACACCAGGCTGTGTTTCTGGTTTCATGTTGTCTCAACACATGCTCTCTGTCTTAGTGCCCACACCCAAAAAAGTGAATTACCAAAGTAAACAGTGGACAGACAAATCACAAATTTGTCTGTACAGCCAGCGACACCCTCTTGGAAGAATCCTCTCTAACACAAAGAAGAGGCCCCAGCGGAGGACGGACAGAAAGAACAGAGCAGCACAGAGACCTACAGTATGGATGCTGACAAATGTATAGTTCAGAAATGTACTGTATAAGCCACAGCTGAGCTGTAATGAACGCTGGGGGGGATTCTGTCGGTGTGGTCGTTTGTCTGACATGTGGTGTGCGTATGTTTTGTCTTCAGGGCTGGTTCAGTCCAGGTCAGGTGTTTGTCCTGGACGAGTACTGTGCTCGGTACGGTGTTCGAGGCTGCCACCGACACCTGAGCTACCTGAAGGATCTGATGGATTATTCTGAGAACAACGCGCTGGTTGACCCCACGCTGCTGCACTACAGCTACGCCTTCTGCGCCTCCCACGTCCATGGAAACAGGTACACCAGCCATCACTGTCTCGTTACACTGAGCTGTAAGAACCACAGGAAATCTCAGGGTGCACTGGGGGGTACTGGGGGGAAACTGTTTGTTTGTGTGGGTGCGGAGCCAGTGAGCGATCTTGTCTTATTGCTCACTCTACTAACTCCTGCAGTGTAGACACAAACTGTACATTTTAAACTGGGAGATGGAAGAAAAATCTCATATGTAGAAGAATAATAAAATGCTGTGGAGCACGTGTTTGGCCAGTTGCCTCGACTGGTTGAAGGCTTTGGTTTAGCTGAAGTCCTCATTCTGCACAACCAAAAGCCCAAGAGATAGAGTCAAAGGAAATTATTCAGCAGCACCACTTGTCTAACCGTCCTGTCGAGGCAAACCACTTTTTATTCTTAACTAATAATCCACCTTGTTACACTTTATTTTGAGTCCTCACGCTTGCTGTTTCATACTGTTCCTGTGAGGCTTAAAAACCTGTGATACTCCAGTGTTGTACCATTAGGACAAACTACCACGTAGAGCCCGGAGAACAGTAACATTCTCTTCATTTTAGTAAAACAGTCATAAGGATCAACATATGCAGCTACTGTATGTACACTATAAAATCCAGTCTGCGTCCTGTGAGCAGCCTGTAGCGTGACCTTTAATTTACTCTGTACGTCTTCACTGAGCACAGACGCTCTTTTCCAGCCACACACAGGCTGGACATCCACACGCTGGCAGATCTGTGGGCACATAATCCGCCATGCGTTCCAAATCCACATTTCATTAAGCAGAGGGCACTTTCTGCAGATTTCACCATGTGGCTGAAGAAACGGTGGTGATGCTAATAAAACAAAGTGGGTCAAACTACCAGTACGTTTGATGCAGCTTAGATTAACAACATTAATGTTCCATATGTGTTTGAAGATGTCCAGTCTTTTTTAAATATAACTTAGGTTATATGTTTAATATTGGATAGTCTTCACTAACAGAGTCATTGTCCTGCGTGGCTTACTAGTTCTGTTAAAAGCTAGTAAGTGACTTAGCTAGTAAGTAAGGACAAAATACTGTTTCCAAGGTTAAAACTGAACTTTGAAGCTCAGATGCTCGATATTATAAATTTCCAGTGTGAGTTTCATTTAGAACAACAGCTACAGTTTAAGCTTTTTCTGTCCTGACATCACTATTGGGAGGACATCATCTGCCTTCACAGATGGTTTAAGCACAGAAACAACTTAGTTAAGGTTGGGAAAGCTCCTGGTCTGAGGTTTCAAACTGTGAGGCATGGAGGGACGGGCATGAGGGACGGGCACATGCAGGTGTTCTATGTTGAGTCCCTCACAACTGGCGCTGCAGCAGCTGTGTCACAGCTCGTGTGTGAAATTAGCTCCTGAGTTCGGCAGTTTGCATCAGAACTCTGGCTCCTTCTGTGAGTCATAACTCGGTCGAGTCTGAGCACACTAATAGGGTACATGTATTTGTAGACTGTGCGTGACTTGTACAGTCAGAGGGCATCATTATAGCAGATGTCCACTGTGAATAAACATCCTTATGTACGTCAGATAGTCCAAAACTTGAATAGTGATTCATTATGTTGAAGTTTTCTTCGGTGTCGGAGTACATCAGTGATACTACAGTTGTCTATCTCTCCACGGGTATAACTGCTAACAGCTGTTTTACTGCCAGTTTGACAAAATATCGACACTTTTCAGCTCAACGCAGGCCTCAGGCAGCTGGGAGGTGATGACATGCAGCTGTCGGACGCAGTGGGCTCTGCTCTGCCTGTACTATCAGCAGCTGGGAACCCTTTAGGTTAAAACTTGGTTAGAGAAAATCACGGTTCTGGGTGACATTACTACCATGTTGAGGTTATGGGACCCTCGCTGTCATGGTGACAGCCCCCAGACCTCCTTCCTTTACAGACTCTGATTTGCATAAGTCTGTTGTAAATCCTAACTTGTTTCCCTTAAACATAAACGATCTGTCTTTACCGTTTGCTGAGGCGACTGATCTTTTTCTCGGGAGGACTGCCTCTTCAGCTGTGGCAGCCTTCAGGCCTCCACTTGTCAGCAGTGAGCCTCCCAGATATGAGCAGCAGCAGCAGCTTTTAGCCACTTGTTCCACTTGTTGGCATCAGCGTCGCTCCAGCAGTTCAGTTCCCACTTCACTCCCAGCAGCCCCTGCTTGACTCCCCGGCTGGTAATTACTGATATCTGTGCTTTCTCTCTTTGTTGACTCATTTAGTCAATTAGAAAGCGCAATGATTAGCTTCTCCAGCTAATCACCAGATATAAATTGGGGGGGGGGGAGTGATTACTGGAATTGGCTTTTTGTCAGTTGGAGCTCTAATTTGAATAATTGATGCCCATTCATGGCTCCTGGAGCTGCCTGAGTGGGTGTGGATGGGAAAAAGAGGTTTTGGATGGCTGGCAGGCTCGGAGGTGGAAAAAAAACAAACTTAATTACAGAACTCGAGTTTTCCCTGGAGGGCTGCTCGAAGAGACGAAACTACGGCGGGAAGCAGAGAGGACAACGAGAGACGGAATGATCAACAGCAGAGTCCTTGACTAATACTTGAAGATGTTTTGTTCCGAGTGCGTCAGACTGTGCTTTTCTTCAGAACAGAGTCCTGGTGAGAGATGCATGTTGGACCCTGGCTGAGCTTTTCTGATGCGGGAACGTCTCCCACAAGTGATGTCAGCTTGTCAAGGGCTGTTGGAGAGGCCTCTCACCGGTTTCGTTGTTGATCAGTTTAGTTATTTGGTTGTTTTCAATTTTTCTGTTAACACCCAAAAGGCACACTTCTCCTATAGGTCAGTGGACGTACACTACTGTTCAAAGGTTTAGGTCCATGTTTCCAGCTGTTGTGATCCAACAGGTGAACACACCTGTGTTGTCCCCTCTCCAGCTGAAACCAAACAGCTGGGACAGACAGCCCTGCTGCAGATGTTCCACAGATGTTCCCAACTGTCGGCTGCTCTGCTTTCACTCCTCACCTGGAAAGTCTGGACCCTGTGCTGCCAGTCCATCACTGTTCTGTCCTTGTCCACAGCCTGGAGCCGTTTGTAGCTCCTTCTCCTGCTACAGGGTGAAACCCTGAGCAGCTCTGACTCCCTGTGTTCATGGCCTGATGCTTCAGAGGGAGCAGTAACACAGTCTGATCCAGCTCTGCCTTTGTACAGACAGAATCTGTTGCTGTCAGTCACCAACCACAGTCGGGACCTGTGGCTTCATTTACTTCACTGCTGCAGAGAAGATGGACGTTCACCTGCTACTGGAGCCTGAGAAAAGCCTGGTTCATATGACATTCACACATATTTAGTTTTTGGTGACTTTTTTTTTTTTTTTAAGTTTGCTTCTTTGCTTTGTACATGTTAAATTACAAAACTGTAAAAATGGAGGTGAGCCCAAACTTTTGAGTAGTAGTATTAAAAGATTTTACCCACAACAATTTCATCTATCAGATTTCAATCTCTAATGCCATGTCAAGTATAAACACACTAACCTGAGCCTGGTGACCCCTCCCCCAAAATTAAAGATCAGATGATTTAAACCAGTACAGATGCAAACTCTTACAATCATTTGAAATGCACAGTAAATGTGTTTTCACATGAAGGATGTCTAAACCATCTGAAAAACACTGAAACGTGTCTGCTAAAGAACAGACTGCTGGAAACGTGACACTGCAGCAACGGGTGTGATAATAAAAGCTGTTCTTATTAAAGGTGGGAGAATAAATATTGTGAAAAGAAAAAAAGCCTCTTCTAAGAGTCTTCAGAATAACTGATCAATCATAAAACAGAAATAAGAACTTTGAATTTTGAAAAAATACAGTTGTGGGTAAAATCTTGAAATGCTTCATCTAGTTATGAAAATCTGCATGTCTCTGCCAGACGCATCAGTTTCCTTCCTCCTGGTGTCACTACATCTGTGAGCGGTCTGATTCCGTGACAGTGGCAGCTGAAGTGACACTCAATTGTAAACGAAAGTGTATTAAATTGAATCTGGAAATGATGCCGTTCTAATTAGGACCATTAACGCCTGCTGTTCATCATGAAGCTGCAGGGTTTGGTGGTGATAAAACCCTGAGCAAGTGAAGGAGCCCTGACACTGCCTTTGAGCTGGGATCGAGGTTAAAGGGACATTACCAGAGCCCTCTCTCTTGTCATATCAGATATTCCCCCCTCCAAGCCATCTACACCTCAGTGACACGGGATGCGACAGGAGCGTTTACCTCCCCCAGAGAGGCAGTGGGGGATGATCACCTGCCACTCAGGCTCATCTTTTTTCCACACCTCTAAGGGGAAGCGGCGCCCACACTGGTACGCTGCCGTGCCACTCGACGAGTCATGACGACTCCTGTCAACTGACATCAGAACCAAGGAGCCGGAGAATCTGGTGGAGCCTGATGCTTATCGTTTACAGTAGAGCCATGTCGAGTGTAAACACACTAACCTGATTCTACCCCACCCCCCAGCCCTGAGCGGCGCTGACAGCAGCCGCGCCTCCAGCATACTCGCTTCGTTTAGCAGCAACAATGTCTCTGCACCCTGACAAGCTGTCGCATCGCTGTGTGAGCCCAGGCATGAACACACATCTGACTGGGTTTAATGGCACATGGAGGAGAG